TATCATGCTGCTCGAATGAAAATGTACTTTTGTCTTCATTTGATTAATAAACTGACGATCTAGCCTGGCTACGGGTATTCAAAAAAAAAAAAAAAAAAAGAGTAGATTGTATATTCAGTGTGTTAAGAAAGTCTTTGAACAATTATTGATAAAATTCAAAATTACACAACTTGCCTAATTTAAATTCAAACAACTTTATTATCTTATTTATTATTTGTCTTATATTAACAAGATCTGTGGGTCAATAGTATAGTGAGTGCACTTTCAGGTCACTATTTATGAGTTACTGGTTCAATTATATTTGAGAATGGTATTCGCAATATAGATTATATTGTACAAGGTATATGTTCATTACCACATGTACTTTTGTATACAAATACAACCTATAAAATCTTATTATCTGACCATAGTATAATAAATTAGGTTATACACCTTTGACCAGTTTTAGTGTTAAGGAAATTACAAGATTCTATTATTCAGAATATGTGAAGACATCAAGACAAACCAGAAAAGATTCTGATGGACTTAAGCCTCTAATGAAAATGTAAAGACACTCATCTCTTTTCAAAAAACATCCTTATGGGAGATCTGAGAGACTTCTGTTATCTGCATCAATTGAAAAACATATGGACTGTAACTTAAATTAATGGGAGATCTTATCGTAATCATAAAACTAACAGCTATCAGAAAGAACAGCTGTCTATGAGGTTGGCAATTAATGTTGGCATCATAATGTAAATCATAGGGGTAGATTAGAAATTTGTGAAAAATAATTCAGAAAGCAATAACCAAGGAAAACCCTTATAGGCTATATTTGAAAAATGATTAAGAATGAAGCAATAGAAGATTATTGGTTAATTAATGAAGCAACACTATTGAATTGTCAGGATATTAGTACAAAACTATAGGGTTTGCATATATCAAAGTACAACCAACCTTCTGAGGACTAAACATAATAAGGATTTATTATGGTATACACAAACAAGAATATGAAAACAAAGTATCAAAAACTAAGAAATACATATCTCAAGCCCTTTAAAAAATAAAAATAATATAAGTTTCATAATAGACTTTGAACACTATATGGCTTAGGCACAATAGGGTAACTGATAAAATAGTGTCACATTGTGACAAAATTGGGATATTTAATTGGATAGGTAGTATAGAAAAATAGATTAGATGAATCTTCTATGTAATCAATACTATACTATTATAAAATATTTAATAAATTCACTCTAGTCAAATTGGACTTTAAAAAAAAAAAAATTTTGTCTTATATTAACAATTTATTCTACCTATTAGAATTTTTTTTTATAACTGATAATATGAAAATTGTCAATCAATTTACGCAAGCCATTTCTATACAACATTTGTGAAAGAACAATATTAAAAATATCATTAAAATTCAATATAGAACAGGCTTTCAAAGATCCATTATTTACTATTCTATCAATAAACTAAAAAAAATTGGATCTATGATTCATAAGAAAAATTCTGATTATTCTAAAAAAAATAATACTGAAGGTTTCAAATGTATTGAAACAAATGATTAGATGAAATCTGGCCATATCAATAAGAACTTTAGCAAATAAAATAAGAGAAAAAAGAGTAAACATCTCATATATAATAATTTTGTATCATTTAAATAGCCATGAATTTAAAAAGAAACTTTCTTTAGCAATATCAATGCTTATTAGAGCACATAAGAAAAAGTGAGCAGAGTGGACCTATCCATTATCAAGAAAGATATAGAAATATAGCAATCTAAAAATATTGATGAATTGGATTGATTTATAATCAAAAAGTGGAAAAATGTATCAAAACAAGACTATAGTAAATTTAATCAAGTCAATGCAGAAGCATTGTCAGCTTGTAATTAAAAATAGGAATAAACAAATTTTATATTAATTTTTTTTATTTTGTTCACATCATTTTAAGCTTTCGTTTAAGCTATAAATTATGTGATATGATGCGTTGTTTAAATAAAAATCTGTGGTGTCCAAAGACTTTCTTAACACACTGTAGTTAAAATAATAATTTTAATGAAAAATTTTGATCGTACTATATACAAATTGGAAATAAATATCGAGCTTAGGAAACAAGTTTTACAGATTTATCTTAAATGCAGTTATATTTAAAAACAAACTGCTATATTTTTGATTAAAAATTTCTTATTTAAGCTAGAAAAAATTGGCGTTAGTTGGGGAGAACAAGTTTTGCGCCAGCTTTGACTATTTTTATCGAATAATTGTTTTCATTTGGAATTTGGAAATACAAAAACACTGCTAAAAGGGAATTCTATGTTGATATTCTTGCGTAAATAGAACGAAACACAACGAATTATTTTGAATGCCTCCTATTTCAAGGGTTGCGAATCTCGTGTAGATACACCTCGAGTTTAGTGCATTGAAGTTTAAAAAAAATAATCAACGAGTTGGCTTTTTCTAAAAAAAAAAAAAAATGATAATCGTGCAAATAAAGTTTCCGTAGAGGACTTGTCAAATGAATTATGTCTAGAATGAAGAAGGCTCTTATCTCGAATTTGGCAAGGATTTTAGCGAAGCGCGTGATTCGAGTTCAAGGAGATTGGTAGGTAGTCGAAACATAGAATGTGCAGAAACATGATCATGGAAAAAAGTAATGAGTACAGGCTTGGGTGAAACATAAATGATTGGAGGCTTCGTTTTTTCATTTCGTCGTACTAATTAATATAGTGTAACACAGAAAAAGAATTGTGATACTTTGTGCGCATATATAATATACTGGTCATTGATGAGAACCAAAAGAATCAAATTAGTGTCCAACATCGAATGTGAAACCAAAAAACTCTTTTTGACATCAAGAAGACAGTAGATTGCTGATCGTTGAAACACATACATAGTACAGGCTACTCTTCAATAATCACTCCTTTCCTACTAATTTTTTAGCGATCTTCAACAAAATACCTGAACAAGCATCTATTTCCTAAAACTATAAACACTTTCTTGTCCATGACTCTACATTAATCCCGACTTTCAGATATACATTAGTCATGCAAATTTTTTCAAAATTAAAGCAAAATGGTCTCCCTTGGTCGCAACGAAAATTAAACCTAACCAACATTTTTCCAAGACATGGTCACTCTACTAGTCAATATGCTGTAAATAATGAGATATTCATTTTTGGTGGAATCTTTCGAGGTCAAGCAAGGAATGACCTTTATGTTGTGGAAGTCAGTAAGTAAATGCATCTCAATTTTTTTTACTTCCGGATTGATTTTGGTCAATTATATGGGCGTACTGTGATTAATTATTGATTTAAATTCAGATACATTTAATGTTGTCGCCTGTTTGGCAACAGGTGATATTCCTCCTCCTCGCAGTTCACACACTCATGTCAACATTGGCAATAACTTGATATGTATGTAGGCTTGAAACTTTTCTGCTTGTCCAATTAAAATCATCACGACAAAGTCAATTGATTAACCTGATAGGTACTCTTGAATTTAACTAGTATTTGGCGGGTTACCCGCTAACCCCGAAGAGAGGCTCGACGAAAATATTTATATCCTCAATACCGGTATGAAAGAAAACATCTTTTCATGTGATCTTCACGAGTCCGTAAATGACAAATATTCTTGTTTCAAAAGTAACAAAGAGTTGGGTCAGACATCAGATAAGCAGTAATCTTAAACGTGTCGGACGTTTCGGTCACACGGCCACGGTGGTTGGTTCAAAAATGTATATATTTGGTGGCCAAGCAAATGGATATTGTTTAAATGATCTAGTGGTGTTCGATATAAAATCAAGTGCGTAATATCAAATTTAAGTCGAGTCCTTTTGACTTTTTTGCATTAATTGGATAATTGATTTGATCTGTGATATATTAGTCAACACGTATGGTGCTCGGTTGGAGGCCATTGTACCCCAAAATGAACCCCCGCCGGAAAGAGCGGGACATATCGCCTGCGCTTGCTATGACAAAATTTATATGTATGAGCTGTTCGATAAAATATTGTTTGATTTTGCGAAAATTTGCTTACAGCTGAAATGGATCCTTTTCTCTAGATTTGGTGGTTTTAACAGAGATAAATTTTACAATGACACATGGTGTTACGACATACCAAGCAACACATGGACTAAATTGCAGTGTAATGGCTATATACCTTTTCCCCGACATGAACATTGTGCTGTCAACATTGATGATATGATATACGTTTTCGGTGGTATTAGCAAGGAAGGGCAGGAGTTGGGTGATTTGGCTGCTTTTGGCTTAAATAGTAAGAATCTTTTTCTTTTATTATTTGCAAGCGCCATAAAAAATATAATCGAGTATTGTTAACCGAGAATCCATCTTATGACTGTATCCAGATCAACGATGGTATATATTTCAGAAGATGGGAATTTCACCGTGTCCTCGATTTAGTCATACTATGAGTTCAGCTCGTGAAAAGATTTTAATATTTGGAGGCGATTGTTTACAACCTTCCAAACCCGATGAAGATGGCATCATTAACATATTGGACACCTGTACGTCGATATTTACTTATTGAAAAACATAAAGAAAAATAACTTTTTGAAGTCGATGTTCATAAGTAAACATCCACATTCTTTTGTAATATCTCTAGCTAGAATAAAATATCCGACCGCAAATCAAACACCTGGACGGACACCTCAACAAATGACACAAAAACCACAGCCTTCATCAAGGCCTGTGTTCCAACAACAACAATACCAAAACAACGGTTATTCGCCACCCGCATCGAATAACATGTACACTCAACAATCATCTCCCACAAGCCCTCGTAACGCTACTTTCGATCGTCAAAAGCCATCTATTCAGGCTACCAGGCAAATCACCAATGGGCAAATAAACCACGAGGATGGTATGTTCCATCATCATCAATCGTCCTCTGGATCTGAGGATATACGAGGATTCGGTTCCGAAGGAGGAATGGGTTTTCCGAGACCCATTCAGGACATTATGGTGAATGACAAGGTATCTTCTTCACGAGTAATGCCGGAAACACCTGATGCAATTGGCTCTCAGAGTCCATCACCGTATGGAATAAATCAAAATCAAGTGAATCAGTGGGGGGTTCAAGCTTATCCTAAACATTCTCAAAACGACAGACCTGAACAAGTTAGATATATGGAAAATTCGGCGTTCGAAAACTCCCGAGGAAATCCGTCTGAACAGTTACATCACATGGAAAGGGATGCTACGGATTCGCCTCGGCCAACTTCACCTCCCTTCTCTCAAAAGTCCGGTGCGGATAATATTCGCGACGGAACGCCATCCCCTTCACTTACATTCGGTCAAATGGAAAAGAAATCTATGATGCCTATATCGATGAACGTGGCTGGAGACTTTTCTAATCCTAGACAAGCTCCAAAACCTCCCGTCACCACCAATTCTAACAACTCCAATAATTATAATAGTAATTTTAATAATTCTAATAACCCCAATAATTTCAATAATTCTGGCAGTTCTAATGCTTCTCCTGTTAATCAAGATGTTCAACCAAACTACAATAGTAGTATAGTTCAAACACCGTTGTCGATTAACACGAGTCAGTTGCCTTATGGTGATGTTACCACGTCGCCACCATTATCTCCGGTCAGTTCGAATAGTCTTACGTCTCAATCTTTCGACACCCTTGATCATTTTCCGGTCCCGGTGTCAAATGTGGACCGGGACAAACTCATACGTGAGATTCAACAGCGCGACGCTCAAATTTCTATTTTTAAGAAGCGCGAGACGTGGTTAAAAGCAGAGCTGTCTCTAGCCAGACAAGCAGGGTATACCCCAGAACCTGATCGATCTAGCAACGTTCCGGAGGGTATTGACACGGAGAAGTATATGGATATCGGCGAAAATGGTTCTGATAAGCATAAGGTGGTGCTGGCGATTGTTCGATTAAAACAGGAATTGCGAAAAGCAAAAGTAATATTTATAGTGTCACTTCAAGTCTCACATTAACCCTCCCATTTTTTTTCCCCATGCTCACCTGATGATCGATTCTATCTTTCTTTCCATTAGGCTACGATCGCAAACCAAGCTCAAGTTTCTTCGCAAAAGATAACGGATGCAGAACGTGCTCGTACAGCAGCTCTGCAGGAAGCCGCATACTTCAAGGCCAAGCTCACTGCTCTGGCGAACGCTTCCGAATCTGAACTCGCTAGTATAGAGGTTGAACGCGCCTCAGACCTAGAAAAGCGCTTGACACAAGCTCTTACCGAAAAAGAATCGTTGCAGAACAAATTAATTCAGTATCAACAATCCTCAACATATGACAAGAGTTCCCGAGAGGCTGCTGAGGGAAGAGCGAAAACGGCCACGGCGCGAGCTGAAGAGGCCGAAGAAGCTCACGCACGAGCTCTTGCCGAATTGGCCACCTTACATTCGCGGGCAACTACTGCCGAATCTCAACTAAGAGAGAATAACATTAAAATGACGGAGCTTTCGTCAGAGCTTGCTCAGTACAAATCAGGATCAGATAGTTCGCGCAACCAAATAACTAAACTTCAACAATCATTGGAACAACATCAGCGGGCACTTGAAAAAGCTAATAATGCTCTTATCGCCGCTAACGAACGAGCGGTTGATGCAGAGGCATTATGGCGAGAAGCTCGCGAGGATATTGTTGCGCTGGAGAAAGAGGAAGCTGCCCTGCGTACTGAATTAGACCTTAAAATGCGTGATTTGGAACGAGCACAATCGAGGGCAAAGGAATTGGAAAGGTTGTTGGCAAAAGCTCAAAAGGAGGCGGATAGCGTTCGCGCAATGATGCAAGAAGGTATGACGGAACTCTTGAATACCTCTCGTAACGAAGGAGGTTCGTCTGAAGCGGCCGAGAAAATTGCTCAGCTCGAGCAGGAAATTGCGGCACTTAGGAGTTCACAAGCGGAAAGTCAGAAAGTCGCCCAGGAAGCCACCAATTCATTTTCAGATGCAATGATCAAAATTTCACAAATGGAAGGAGCCGCCATGAAAGTTCGTTCCGATGCAGCTGCGCTTCAGCGAAAATTAATCGAAGCGTCCGACGAAACCGCCAGAACTAAGGAGCGACTGCGAGAGAAAGAACACCTCTTGGAGGAGAAGACACGTGCTCTCGAAAATGCAGAAGTTAAAGTTGGTATGATGCGCGACGTAATTTCAGATACGGGAAGATTAGAGGACGGCGGCAGGGGCAGCAAAATTAAAGAACTGGAGACACGTTGCGCGGAGCTCGAGTCTATTCACAGTCAAACCAGGAATGAACTCAAGGCATCTAATCAGAAATATCAAGATACATTGCGAAAAATTAAAGAATTTGAGAGCAAGAATAAAGTGCTGGAAGAAGAATTGGAACGCGTTAGCAACAATACAAGTTCGATACACACAGCTCCGGATATAACTATTAGCAGCAACGATTTTGAGGAAGATTTGAAGGCCGCGGAACAAAAAGCTATCGAGAGTCAACAGGAGCTCAAAGAGGTAAAGGAAAGGTTGCATCAAGTCGAATCAGACTATCAGACCGCGGTACACTATGTCAAGGGTACGGAAAAAATGCTGAGACGAATGAAAGATGAATTAACAAAGAGTAAAAAGGATGTCGTCAGGTTGACTGAGAGATTGACGACTGCTCAGGAACGCAATGAAAAATTAGAGGAGAACCTCGCTGAGGCTGAGAACAATAATTCTGTTCGCAAAGGTTATAGGGAATCTCAACTCCAAGAGTACGCGAATCAGAAGCTAGAGGAACAACGCGAAGAATTTATGAAGGAAAAGGAACAACTAGAACAACAGATAGAACAATTGCAGAAACAGCTCGAACGTGCGCAAGATGAAAAGAATATGATGGACCAAGAATATGAGGTACTGCGTAAGGCATATGAAGAATTAAGAAAGGAAAACGAGTCAGTGAGAAAATTGGAAATTCAGCTGAAGGAAAGATTGCAAAATTACGAGGAAACACTGAAAAACAGAGAGTCAGAATTAGAACAGGCACGTTCTTCATATTATCAAGTTGGTCAAGATGGCTTGACAGGTGATCGACGGAAGTGGGATGAACAACGTGTAATGCTTGGTCGAGAGATCGCCGAATATCGGGCCGCGAATGATAAGCTTGAGAAAGAGAATATCGACCTGGAACAGAAATTGAAAGAATCAGAAAATAAGATCTCAATCTTATTGGATCAGATGGAACACGCGGTTGATACCTATCGAGAGATTGAAGTTGACATAAGAGATTCTAGTCCACGTAATTCAAATGCCATTAGTTCCTTAGCGAGCGAACTAGATATGCTTAAATCTCAATGGGATATGTCACACCATGAGTCAAGTCTAAGTGGCAACGAGTTTATTGACTCGCGATGGAGTAGATTACCTGACGGAAGAAACGAAGATCTACAAATACCGTCAGGAATGGAGGGATTCGATGAAATGATGGCAGCATTGGATGGATTCCAAAAGGTTGCGGCTCAAAGGAAGATAGGACAATTTGAGACTGTTAAAGATATAATATGACACGGATTTATCGAGTTCGATACCACGGACAATCAATTATTTTATATGATGAATTTGGACTATAAATATGAGATTAAAAACGATTTATATAGATGGACTAAATAAAATCAACAAAAACGGACCCGCTGGAAAATGGATTCATGGAAAAATATCGCGTTATTAATACCTCATCTATTTATACCAAACAATTCGGTTTCGGGTTCAAATAATTTTTCTTATTTTCATTTTTTTTTTTTTTTTTTTTTGGTTTTCTTATTTCACAGATATATATTTGTGCACCGAAGCTTTATTTATTCATTCCTTATTTATTTTTCTTCCTATAAAACTGAACTACACTCCCTCTATAACACTTTAACATGTACTATAAATAATAAATATTTTTAGTATTCACATGAATCAACTACCAAAAAAAAAAAAAAAAAAAAGGATAACTATTTTCTTTAAAACTTCCAACATTATATAATAAGTCATGTGAATTAAAAAAAAAAAAAGGTACAACAATGAAAGAAAAAAATCAAGAAATTTTCAATTTTAATCACAATCAGTTGCTTAGGCTGAAGGATTCCAATCTGTATTGAATAATTAATCAATAGTAAAAATAAAAAAATAATAATAATAAATAAACAAGACAAGAATCCTTGGGCCCAAATTTAACCATAATGATACCTAATTTCAGTCCACGAGATCTGCTTAGGAGAACTACGTTGCCGATTTACTGACTAAAGCTATTCTCATTCTTTTATAGATGATTACAAAATGTCCTAGTGCTTTATTCGAGATAAGAAAAATTTCACCGGCAATAAACTCCAAATATAACAACGATCTATATTTAAACTATCTCTCGTATTTGTTCCTTAATTTGACTCTCTCTAAACTTCTTTCTATATGTTTCATTTTTTGCACTTTTTTCACTAATCTTCGATCTGGATTCCGAAGATTTACTGTTACTCATCAATTTTCCTGTTCTTAGCCATGCATCATAGGCCTGATACCGACTTTTTGCACCACCATGTTGATTTGATCCTACAGCTTGCATCATTGCATACCTCTTGGGTATGTCAAGACAATCTTCATACATCATTTCATCTGCCGCTTGCGTTCTTATGTCCGTTATGGGGTTCGGTAGATTTGCTCGGCGCACGTATTCTGCATAACAAGAGTATTCAGAGTGACACGTAAGCGCCGGATCATTATCTCCAGTAAGACTTGGGATTAAAACCAAATCTTTGTTTTGGGTTATGTATCTACATGTACACAATTTTTTTTATTTAGAATAAGAAATTAAGATTCAAATAATGATACTAAAAGATTGGTAATTACTGCTCATATTCCTTCCTCTCGGAGGAGGAAACCGATGGATTCAGACTCTTTATAACCATCAACTCCAATACAGAAAGAGAATCCTTTTCTTTCTTTGTCTTCTCTTTCTCCTTTTCCTTCACTTCAACTTGAACTTCTTTTGGTTTGTTGTTTGGTACTACCCATTTCTTGACACCACCAATGTTCATCAATCTATTGATTTAAACAAAAAATTATTAACCACATCAACGTATTCATTTGGTTTGCAAATAAAATTGTACCGAGTAGCTTGCGGAACTCGCACGGAAAACGGGCTATAATCATACGTTCCAAGACTTGCGCTGGTACAGATTTTATATACACAATTAAAATCAAAAGTTGAATAAAACCAAAATATCATAATCTAAACAAATGATTTTCTTTTTTACCTTGGTGGAATATATTTGGAAGTACTATTCATGTTAATCGCAAACAATTTATCAAATGATGTGAATAGTCTAGGACGATAATATTCAACCCAATATCCAGCAAAAGGGTCACATTCGTCATCAAACTGACGAGCCAAACGTGGCACCAGCCTGTATCGAGCACTATCTTGTTCTTGATCTTCCCTTGGCAAGAGTGCTTCATTAGTCCACCATTTAATATAACTGATATAATCACATTCGATCGATATTGTTAATAGATGTCGGAATAAAATAAAAAAAGTGGCGCAGTCTTTGTGAAATATAAAAGAAAAGTCAAAAGACCTTCTTCGTGGCCTTTTGAAGCGAGGGTCCCCGTTGTGTAAGAAATAGTCACTTGGTAATTCCCACAAATGTGGTCGATCTTTTTGTGGCACAAAATTACCAAGGAAAAGGTTGATCGCGTCCTGCTTATCGGCATCTAGTTTTGCACGCGTACATGTTAAATTAAATATAGATATTGTATCATATAAGAATCTCGAAGAATTGTGCACCTGCGAATGCATTGTTATAATATCTCCTTATATTTTCTATTAGATCTCTGGAATGACTGGTCCATTGATTGATTTTACGATAAGAGTCGATTGTATTCACTAAATTAGAACCACCATATTGAAATGCAATGGTATCACCGTGATCGTGATACATATCTGTCAACATGTTGACCACATCTGAATCTACAGGTACCCGTGGTTCGTCGATAATGCCCAACGCATAAAGCTAGATATTCAAGATAATGAGTATCACCACAACTACCATTGCGATGAGAATTATTTTCATAAATACCTGATGGCCCAGTGCGCACTTGCCAATAATCAATTGAGCTGCATTTGTACGATCTAAACAATCAATGCAATTTGTTCTAACCACTCCATTCTGACGAAATGACATGCGACGGGTTTGAGGTTTTCCTTGACTTAAAGGCGAACATAAATTAATTTAGTAAATAATATGATTGAAGCAATCGAAAACACAACTAGCCTACGTTTCTTCTTTTCGTAACACGTTAATGAAAGCTTCGGGTCCGCTGTGAAAGAATCCGGTAGCGGCCAGGTATTCCTCTGCAAATCCCTCCATAAGCTCCATAACATCATCGTCACTGCAAAAAAAAAAAAATATACGACATCATTATCCTTATGAGAAGGAAAATTACTGATATGCGATCTATTAATCCAGGGTTATCTGAAATTATCACCTTTTCCTAGCTTTCGACATATCCCAAGCCTGATATCTGAGGCAATTCTCCGGTAGGAATTGTGTCAAATACTTCATGGTTTCTTCGAACTCATCGCCTAAAATCGATTCTCGGGGATTTTTTTCCTTTGTCTATAAGCAGATGTCATATTATCGCAAGGTCATTTGTACTTTTTCTAAAAGTAAATAAAATAACCAACCTTGATCAAATTTAATACAATTATAGGTGCACCATAACGTTTGAACATATTATCATAATGCAGTGCTGCAGCCGAATAAAATGGGTCTCGAAAGTTGACTAACAAAAAGAAACAGAAATAAAATAAATTTATCGTCATGCAAATTAATTCTATCAAATAACCAACGTACTCATTATAGGCGGTTTCGGTGACATGTTAGTGTCCTGGGACCAAAAGAGAGGTATTGACCCCCGGTGCTGCACATATGATGTGTAGTGTGGATTATCATACAATCGCGTTCCAGAACGATGAAATGAAGTCGTACTCATCTCGGACACTATTTGTTCCGTTTCTACATCATTGGCCACGTAACCCTAACGATTTCAGAAAGAATATTTTAGATAGAAGTTTCATTCTGGAAAATTTTTAAAGTCCTAACTTCAATAGGATTATTAATGTTCTATAAGAAATTACTTGATCATTAACTCCGCGTTTCAGGAAACGCGCACCTGCGAAATAACGAGACCTTCTTGCAATCAACGTGACAAGGATGTTCCTTCCAAATATTGAAATCTCTATAAAAAAGAATGACCAAAAAATTAATGACGACTATATTCTAATAATCTCGAATTTTCCAAAGTTTACCCACTTGATTGATCTACAAAGCCATGAATGATTGGTAAAATCCAATCTGAATTATTCTTTAAGCTTCGAAATCCGGTTTCTAACAAATAATGATTCCATACGAACATCTCATTATATGAAAAATTTCTACGATTCGGCGGTCGAGTCATATTGTGTTGGAGCGTATGTGTAATATCGTAGGTGTAACTGAAATAAAAGTTCTTTGTTAAGTCGACATTGTTAAAGATACCGATGTATCTGTAGAACAAATAATGAAGTTATTAGCCATTTATGCTTCGCAAATACGAACCGTTTTGAAGGGATTTAATTACTTGTACTCATCCGAATTTTTCTCGGGTTTATTCTGTGAACCAATTGGTCGCAAAAGAGTCTCATCGATATGGTATATGTAATGACCACCAATCAAAGCAACAACACTCCTTTTGGTAATTAAAGAGATGTAATATCCTTCTGTGAACCGAATAAATCCTATTAATAATTAAGAGTCGGCATTTAATTATTGTAAATCGAGATTTACGAAAAGTTTTGATAAAAGTATTGTATTAACATACCCACAATACCATATGCCGTCACAATTGTTTTCAACCCCCCCGATACCCTGTTTCCTTCTTCGAGAACAGCCAATATATCGTTGATTTCCTGTTTTGAATATATACCATCATCTTCAATTACGTTGAGCTCATTGGGCGAAGTTCGATCAATCTTCAGAAAACGAAACCTATTGTCACTCAGGTTAGATCCAACAATATAATAATTCTATATTTTCATTAGATTCTAACTTTTTAACGCGTCTGTTATAGAAAAAAAATTGGAAGTTCGAATATACTTTATTTACCGTTTTCGTTTCGTACAGGATAAATTTGTTTAAAACTAGTCGATCAGGTTTATTATCTTCGAGACCTGTTACTTCCATTGCAGGCGGCGCAGACAAACGATTCACATGCTGTTGGCGAACGTTTAGTTTGTTCAAGTTTCCTAGAGATTCTTCGGCTGCCAAGGAAAGGCGTTGTTGGTTTATATCATTTACTAAAGACATTTTCAAATTAAATTTGTAATTTGCGAAAGATTTAAAAAAGCTGATTTCGGGGAGTTCATTAATTAATAAAAATCATAACCATCATAAATCAAAAGTACTTGAATTTGAAACTTAAATATTTTTTGTCATAAGATTCGTGATGTCGCGATGATCATTTACCATGGTTAATTTAAAACAAAATCTACAATAGTCTTCATATATAAATACTCTAAGTCAGATTTTGGGGACAAGATAGATTGGTAATAGCATTAATATTGTGATCAAATTTATATTTAATTGATATATTCAAATGAAATTATTTTTAAAAAAATAATTTTCAAAGAAAGAATTTAATTTTTTTTTTTTTTTTTTTACCCTCTGTCAGACTAATTATATGTACTTTATTAAACATTAGTATACTATATATGTAAAATGAATCGCTAAAGCTAAATCTCTAATTAGCTCGCTCATCTTGGTTATTACCACTCTAAGTGCAACTTTGGAAGTGATTTATCACTCCATTAGTAGCTCAGGTGAAAACCCTTTCAACTATTAATTTCATTGTCTGTAAATTACTACTGTAGTTCAAAGAAAGAATTTAAGAAGTAATTTATTTTAATAAAGAAATATCCAAAAATTTAGAATCTCTTTAAACAATGTTATGTGATATTTCACAAGAAATATGGTATATTCAAAATTTATTAATAAATTAGAAAATTCTATTATCAAAAAATATATATATATATAAAATTAAGTCAAGTTATTTTTATAAACTTATTATTTTTTTTTTTAATCCTCTGTTAGATTAATTATATGTACTTTATTAAATATATTATAAGCTATACAAATAATAGTATCACTAAAGCTAAGTCATCAACTAACTCACTTATCTTAGTTTGTTTTCAAACTTTAAGTACAAATTTAAAAGTAATTTGTTATTTTATTTATAGTTTGAATTAATATTCTTTTATTATTAACATTATTACTTGTAGTTCACTATTGTAGATTATCAATTGTAGTTCTGATTGAGCTTAAAACCCTAATCATTTTATTTCATTTTTGACTTCTACTATTATGATTTAGTAAAATTTTTACTTGAACATTTTTTTCTATTATTTCTTATTTTTTTCTTATGCTTCTTACTTTTCTTATTATAGGGACTTTATAAGATTTTTCATCTTATTTTTTTGAAAAATTCTTTAAGCTTTTTTTATATATTATGCTTTTATATCTTTTATTTTATACATTTTCTTTAAAGTAATTAAGATTTTCTTTTGATTATAAAATATTTATTTTTTAATTATAATCTTAATTTTCTTTTCTTTATATTTTAATTTTTTGACTTTTATTAATAAAATTTTTTTGACTAATTCTATAAAAAAAATAATTGTACCTTAGCTTTTATTAGATACCTTTTTTATAAGTTTTATTATCACTAGTCGAAATTATGTCATTCAGCTGCCGAATTATTGCTGAATTTGGCAAAATTTAATAATAAAAATATTGACGAATTATTTACGATTGCTGCCACTCGGCATT